AGATTTGCGACAGTACACTGTTGATTCCTACAATAAGAAGGTTTCCAAATGTAGATATGTTAAAAAGTGCAAGATTGTTTCATGGGCAAAGAAATGTGCCAAGTATAAGAAGGTTAAATATTGTAAGGAGAGAAAATCAGTTAAGAAGTGTTGTCTCATTAAGAAGAAATTCTTCTGTGCCAAGCATAAGACCATCAAGTTCTGTAAGCACAAGAAGACTATTTCCAAATGTGTCAAATATCAAAAGAAGAAGTATTGTGCCAAGACAATTATTATTCCTCCAAGATGTATCAAGAAGAAGTATTATAAGAAGTGTTTGAAACGTTCAAAGGGAAAGAAGATTTGTAAGAAATTCAAATTGGTTGGTGGAAAGAAAAAGTGTTGCAAGTCAATCAAGAAGAAGATTTGTATCAAGAGAAAGACATGTAAGAAACCATCAAAGCCAATCGTTAAACCATCCTTGTAAATTATTAGCGTTTGCTGAAGAATAAATCAAAATACTAATTCTTCTAAAATCCGGGCATAAAGTTCATTCGCCCACCGTTCAAATAATGTTTTCGTTCAATTCCAACATTTGTACGAATTGTTTTGGTTGTTCTGCGAATAGGAATTTTACAATTTGTGGACATGAAATAGAATAGACAAATGATAGATCCGTATTTGGTTCAAATTTTTCAATATTCTTTGTAATGAGTCTTTTGAATAGTTCAGTATAGCATTGTTTCCACTCATATGATCCAACAGTTAGTGAGCAGAGTTCAGAGCTTGCTACTGTTACCAATTTTACCATTATATCCCTCATTGAACTTTCCCAAATTTTCCTATTTCTAGATTCGAATAGTTCTGTAAACTTTTCAATATACATACATGTGAGATTGACCATTTTCTTGGGGTCATCAATCATGTTTTCTGCTGTAAGTGATGCTTGAATGAAATAGCTTACAATAGGACATTTGGAAAGATTCGAATCAATTGACTTGTCATCTAATATTTCTCATTGTTATTCATAACACATTTCCAAAATGTCCAAGTTCATATTTAAAATAAAAGATGTCAGAATTGACTCTCTTAAGAAAATTTGATCTATAAAAACTCTCCTATCGGTCCCTTGTTCCAATTGCTTGTCAAATATTTGTTTGAATAGAGGTGTGGCTGCCAGTAATGAAAATAAATGTTCAGATTGATTTGGATTAATAGGAATATTTCGTTTAAGGTAGAGAAATTGAGCTAGATCAATACTGTACTTGGTGACATTGTCATAATCTCTTTGAAATTGTGAATTAATAAAATCCGAATAGATTGATTCTTTCATAATCATTGGATAACTATCCATTGATTCGGATAGAAATTTCAAGAATCGTCACTCCTTTTGAGATACCAAACTAGTCCAGTCTTTCTTTTCCTCAACAATGGCAGAATACAGATCATGGTTTCCATTCGTAATTTGCACATGTTTCACATACGCTTCAAATCCCAAACAATGAACAGTTTCCCTCCTTTTTCTATCCGAATTGACAATCATTTCCAAAAACCAAACTGGTTCTTGAACTGCCCTCATCACATGCACAATAATATTCCTCAGAATATGATCAGAAACTATTGGTAGCTCCAAATTGTAAAATCTCTTACATTTCATACTGCCCATAATTATTGGACTATCTCTGAGAATGTGAAACAACGTTTCCCAAAACAATTGAATGGCAGGAATCTTCGAATCAGTCAATATTTCATAAAACATGCCATCCTTTACAATCAGCATTAAATTCCTCATCTCTCCAACAATTTCTTCCATTGATTTCCAAAAGTATCCGGTTATAATTCAATGAAGATGCATATCTAATTCCCAACACATCACAATGATCATCACGAAAATCCAAAATC